CATGCAAGCATGCTGTTTACTTCCTGAATATCTGAAGACATGAATAACCATGCGTGATCTTCTTTTTACATGCATATTAGTGTTTCGCGTTATTACGAAGTATGTCTATTACCCGAAATTTCCTTGGAAATGTTATTTACTTAGTCTCTTAGCAATTTTGTTTTCATAACAGACTGGCTCAGCCTCTGCGACCTTGACCCTTAGTCGATTTTTTTTGTTTCTCTCATTCTCTCTCTTTTTTCCTTTTTTCACTGGCCATGAAACACCCCCCCAACCACGTTCTAAATCAGGTAGGCGCTGTCTGAGTTATTGCTGGCCCGGACTACCATTCCCGATTACCGTTCTCGCTGCTGGATGCCTGTAATAAACTTCAGTCCTTTCATGAATGCCAACCTAGAATGGAACGGTTAGATTATAGTTCGCAGACCTCAGTGTCGAAATATCAATACTGCACCACTCGCCCCTTTCCTCTCAGAACCTCATAACGAATACCACATTTCTCCCAGTAGATTATCACGGAACCTCACCTACTTTCCCGCAGACGCCACCTTCTCCCTTTTCATAAATCCGATTCATTGTCACACATGAATAATGGAAGAGTGTGCAGTTCGGGAACCTTGTCATCCTCGCTGTCCTAGAGTTCGTATTGATCTATAGACACAGGGAGTCCGCGGCCTTTCCTTAGACTGCTATGAGTTCTTCTGTAAATTTATTATTGGTGTTTGGCACGTGCGAGAGAAGAGGGACGGCGTTATGCCCTTGCAGAACGAAAGGCAAATGCAGTGTATGCATACATATATACACGCACATTGATGCATACACACATATATATTCATACATACTTATGCTATTTATGTACATATACATGTGATATATATCTATGTATACAGATATATGTACTATGTGTGTATGGAAGTTTGTCTTTCTTTTGGCATCGTTATATGGATGTGTATATATATATATATATATCATCACGATAAGTCAATATTTTTTATTCAATTCATGATGAATACTTCACACTTGTGTTGCTGAGGTATTATATATATATATATACACACACACACATACACACACACACACACACACACACACACACACACACACACACACACACACACACACGCACACACACACACACACACACATATATATATATATATATATATATATATATATATATATATATATATATATATATATATATATTAAGATGGAAGCCGGGAGGTTTTCAAAACTGTTGTCTCATTTTCAGAAAACCTAGTTTAAGCATTGTAGGTATTACAACCACACACACACACACATATACAACTGCATCCACACTATTAAAATCGAGAAACGAACCATTGAATTGAAAGCCGTTTAGGCCGACTTGCTTTGCTGTCCCTCGGAATCGCTGTTTAAAAAAAAGGTTTTCCGTTGCACTCAGATAAGTTTACAGCATTTTGTAAAAAGCTGAGGCCTCTGTTTACTCTGAGATCCTAGGTTAGGTAATGGGATCTCTAGTATAATCATCGATACATTTTTCCGACAAAAACGAAAATCAACTATTGCAAATGGTGTGGCAATATATGCAGGACATATTTCGAATCTGGAAAAGACAGGTTCATAAAGCAGCAAAGGACACACTCACGTATGTGTATGTGACTGTAATTCAAACATACGCACACTGCACGTGCACATGTAGGAACGCACAATCCTATATGTAATTATGCTATGCTTGTATTGCCTCATGCATTGATTTTCTCAACTTCTTTATCAGTCTTTATCTTTTTTATATATGGCGGTATTAGTGAGCAATATCCCCAAATTAGGGAGTTTGAGACACATTATATACGACTGCAATTTATTTCAGATGTATGAAATAAATTACATGTTTCATATGACATGTTTCTACACAGTTCTTTTTGACATATAATATTGAATCTATATTCTCAAACTCAGTGTTAATTATATTTCTGTACGTTTATCAAATTCAATATTAATAGCGTTACAAAGGAATAAAATCAACACTGTTTAGGTCTGTAAGTTTTCTGCTAAAATGTGTCTAATGCGAATAATCTCTGACTGGCGAGCCTGGAGTGACCCTGTCCCATCACAAGACCAATTGACGATGTCGATTGAGACTCTCGTTAAATTCATTATATTTGTCATTTGAAAGAGAAAAGCCGAAAAGCAAATTGCTCCAGTGCGGACTTTGCAGAATTAGAAAATGGTTCAACTGCAAAGGTTGCTCGTGACATCAAAGAACTGACATCGTGCCAACCACAGAGGATATGACTCCTTTTGGACAGTGCAGGTATTACAGAACTAATATTCCCCGCAATTCAAAGAACAAACATTCTGCTTTGTCTTATGAACAAAAAAATTCTTTGTTGTGAGCAATCTTTATGTTTTATGTCATGAGCAAGAATTTTGTGCTATAAGGAAGACCTCTGCCTTGCGATATGAGAAAGAAAAGTTTTACTTCATGAGCAAAAATACGTTTCATAAATGACGAAGA